AATACATACAACATAGAAAAGATTTTTCTTAGATTAAATGATGACCATAATAATGTATCTGAATTTTTAGTAAACTGTGGTAAAAGATATGGATTTAAAAATCTAATAATCAGACAAATTGATTGACTGACCTTTTGATGCTATCATATTTTTATTAAAAGATGGATTGTAATTATTATGTTCTTTGATACCCTTCTAAGCTAAAATACATTACTTTTTATACAGTAGAACCTCCATTATCCGGACCTCCATTATCCGGATTTTCGATTATCCGGATTGTTCAAAATAAACAAAAATTTTACGAATTTGCTGATTTGCACTTGGCGAATTACGACACTGTTTATGTACGTGATGGAATGCATAACTTTTTTTGTTTCAACAACGTTTCACCCGGCACAGTGGTCGTAAACTCTTAAATATATTTTCTGTCGTAATAAAAATATAACTTGACATACGTATTTATAAATAATTTATATTCAAATTACATCATTTCTATGACCAAGTGCGGCGTAAGGCATGGACAACGTGGTCCACCGCCTATGCCTCGCGGTCCGAAGGGCCTCGCGCCTCGAAGGTTCATGCATTACTTAAAAGCCGTGAACGCGACGAAAAAATTTTACTCGTCATAAAACGATAAATAGTTTGTCAAATTTTTATTCATAAAAATGCAGTTTCAACTGCTTTTTATTTTATAAAATCCGTCTTCTTGCGCCACCAGAGGGCCTTTTAAACAATAGGTAGTCTGTTAGCGTTGGTCAGTAGTAGTCCAAATTCAATACGAACATTTCTTTCTTGAAAATTTGATCACGATTTAAATACAGTATTTACTTTTAATATTACCGATATGTCATCGAAAAGAAAACGTGTTGTATTATTATTAAAAGACAAATTAAAGTATTTGTTTCGATTATCCGGATTTTTCCTTATCCGGACTACCTTCATCCCCAATTAGACCGGATAATCGAGGTTCTACTGTATAAAACTTTGACTATATTTTATTATTGTAAAACTTTATAATGTTAAGAACGCACAAAAAAAGATGAAATGTTATTTTTTGGAAAGAATATTCTTTTAAAATGCATAATTTATATACTTGAATACAAATTTAAAAATTTTCAGTTATCAGTTTTAAAATGAAAAGTCAGAAGCTTTCAGAGTTTATTTTCTTTTACTTTTAAAGCATGCATGATAAAGCTTGAAAATTTTCAGAAAAATTTTGAATATCAAAAGAATATTATTGTCATTTCAAATAAATTTCAATAATTAAAACATTTTTAAAATAATGTTATAATTCTTTGACTTGAAATTTTATTAGGAGTAAATTTAACTCAAAGATGTGTTGAATAAATTATCTGTTTTAATGTGTCTGCAGTTTAAGTAAAGTTTTAAATATTATTCAAAATCTGACCACTAATCTAAAGAGAATTAAAATTGATCAAAACAGTAACAAGAGTAATAAGTGATTTTTTCAAACAAATTACTTATTACAACGAAAGCATTTGAAAGCATATAAAAATATGATATTTGTGTTAATAATGTTTGTTTTGTAAATTAGACTGATTTGTTTCCATCAGCAATATTATGTAATGTACAAGTAGATTAAGTTATTAACTTAATCTACTTTACTCATTCTATTTATATTGTATTTCTTTAAAGTAGAGTAAGTTATTAACTTAATCTACTTTAAAGTAATAAAATATAAATAGAATGCTATATTTTTATGAAATTGAAATAATATTGTTTCAAAGCTATTCAAAAAATAGCAGAAATTTATATTTGGAAAAAAGTAATCTTATGCCTTATACACAGCAAAGCACATTAACTGATTGCTTTTAAACCAAAGTTACATAAAAGTTACAGAATTTTGCTAAATGAATTTATCATCATTCTGCACTCAACCTCTGCACTTTAAGAAACTTATAAATAATCACTTTTTGAATTCTGCATCGCTAAGTGACGCTCATCTACACATTTCCTAAAATTTTGCATTACTTTCTACAACATTTCAGGAAGAATTTCTGCCACTTTGGTTTGTGTTGTTATGCTTGAACTCTTCCACAGTTCTTGGTAAGTTCTTATAAATATTGCTCTTGAGGTATCCTCAGAAAAAGAAGTTACAGATATTGACATCTCAAATGTCAATCAGTGTGTTTCCTGTCATGGGATTATTTGACCCAGGAACATCTAATTAAGGACTTGCATTCAACTGTACCCAGTGTGAGCCATTGATCTATCCTATTGAAACACAGGTTTTGGTATTCAATGTCATGATGCGACGACAACTCTAGTTCAAGAAAGTTGTGAAGCATTTCAAAGTAGTGATCAAAATTTACTGTTAAATTCCTGTCATCTTTGTCTTTTGAAGAAATATGGAATAATCATTCTAAAAGATGCTATACCATATCAAACAATAACCTTAACACTGTTTAAAGGTTTCTCATGCAACTAATGAGGGTTCTCTGTTGCCCAGTAGTAGCAAGTTTGTGAATTAATATAACCACTCAGATAAAAGTTAGCTTCATCTGCTATGAAATGATGATTAATGGTATCATCATTCACAATATTTTTAAATGTGTAAAGAAGCAACAATGCACTTTCTCATGTCCTGATTGCTTAATGTCTGTACTGTAAATATTTTTTACAGATGGAGATATATCTTTATGCAATATTCATCACACTATGACTTGACATTCCTAGTGCATGTATTGTTACATATATGCCAATCACCATAGATTAGAGAGATTAGAATGGTATACTTCTTGACATTTCTAAGAATTCTAGCACTATATGGTTTTCCTAGAGATTTACTTTTCAAAGAAGAAGCTATTTTTCTGAAGTTTATCATATATAACTTAATCATATTATGACAAGGAACACTGGAACAAGAAACATTGTTAAAATTAATGTTGAAATGTTGATGAAACAAATGCTGAATTGCATTGACAGATTTATTGCTTTTAAAAAGTGTCTCCATCACAAAAGAATAATGCTCTGCCAATCAATGCTGCGTTGTATAATGTTGCCATTGAAAACTGTAAATCCACACAATGATGATTAAAACAGCTTTACTTCAACAATTTCAGTTTTCATACATCTCATGTAACTGCTAAAACTACTCTTTCATTCACATATCTAAATAGAAAAATTGCTCTACCCTTTCAAAGTTTTCATTATCAGTTCTTAAACTTTTCTGGACTGAGTGACATGGTCATACCTATACAGAATTTATAAACAAATGTAGAGTCAATATACTAAAAAGCTTCTTGCCTGTATTACAAAAACATTGTTACTTTGGACTAATGAACAGGCTTATTATACACCCAGTATATTTAATTAACTTTTACAAAATGCATCTTGGCCTTACTGGTCTTTTTGAATTGGATAACATACAAAAACAAAGTTTATGTTGACTATCGTCAACATTACAATATACCTTAGAAGTACAATAATTTCAAATTATTATTAGGATTATAAGTTATATCTAGGTTAGTAATAATATAATACTATTCAAGTCCAGTCTTTTATTGGATTTGTAATAATTTGTCTCATAATAATCTGCCAAATTATCAATCTATTATATGGCTAAGTTAATTAGAAACTAAATAATTTGTCTCAAGGTATCCGATTATGCTGCCATCTCTTGTTAATTTTAATAATTATTATTATTTAAAATATTACAAATATTAATATCTTGATTATATTATAATAATAAATACAGGAAATCCTCATTGGTTTGAAATTCAACGGACAAAATAATTGTGACTTCAAATTATCCAACATATTTCTGTACAATATGCCAAATACCATGTAACTGATTTAATTTATTAAGCAAATGGAATACAGCTATGTATAGAAATGCTAGTTTTGTTAATTAATATTAATAATATAAATAAACTACAGTTAACAGTACAGATGAAAAACTCACAGGTTGCCAGATAGGGTTTTATAAAAAATAATGCAGAATTCTTTCAAAAGTAGCCCAAATTAATTTAAAAATGCCCAAAAAGTAGTAAGTTGACCAAATGTAGTAGTCTAAAGCCCTACAAATATCTTAATTCACTATTTGTAGCACATTCTTTAAACCCAAAAACCATTCATATTTTATGAGATAGAGAAAAAAGGGGTAGTCCACATGTAAGGTGACACCTGAAAATGTGTTACTGTAAAAGCAAAGCCATATTGACAAGATTACAGTTTTTAGTCTATTATTCTCTTATAGCATGGAGGCATTTCAGTCTAAATGAACAAATTAGCATATGCTTATCACAATTTGGACAGAATTTTCACTTTGAATTTTGAATTAGCTGTATTTCAAACTAACCAATTTCCTTAACATGTAAATTTCTGTATCCCTGGCTGGTTATATTACTATCAAAAGTAGTTATGAATTCACAGGATTTTGAACTATCTGAGTTTGAATTAATGAGGATTTCTTGTATTACAATAGTATAGTACAGGGGTCGGCAACCTGCGGCTCGCGAGCCACATGCGGCTCTTTGGATGTGAAGCTGCGGCTCTTTAGTTCCATATGCAAATATTTATTTTATCAAAAAAAAAAAACATTTAAAAATCGTTCTGAATCGATTAACGAGGATTAGGCACTGATTCTATCTCTCAGCCACTTGTACTCGCTTTTCACCGCACCCCTCCCCCGTGACACGCGTCGTCACTGTCGTCAGTCCGTCGGAAGCTCTCGAATGACGCCGTCGTCGGATGTTTCTATTATCTAATTTGTTGTGAAAAACACTACTTATATATGAATAAATAGATATTTTTTCTTGTGAATAAATAGATTTTTTTTTTATCAAAAAACTTTATTTATGCGAGTACTATTTATTGCTGGCAAGAAAAAATTTTGTGGCTCTTTAAAAACTTTGAAATTTTGTAAATTATAATTTTGGCTCTTCCGACTCAAAAGGTTGTCGACCCCTGGTATAGTACATAATTTATTCAAATTAAATATAAACTTTTATATATAAAAACGTAATTTGTATTTTCAGTATCCACATCTTTCTTGTTACTTAACAGAAGTTTTGCCACCTTCGTTAATATTTGTGGATGATCATCTTGTTGAAAATAAAGTGTTAGGATTGGAATGTTTATATCATATTATAGAGAATCTTGTATGTATATTTTAAATTCAATTTTATATTTTAAGTACCATAATTTAATGCAGATAATTGGCAGCAGTGCATAACTCAAAACTGCATGTACAGTATCCAGTGCTGGTTTGAGGCATTAGCAAAGCAGACAACCATCTTTGAGTAGTGTCATCAAAATTGGGTTTCATTAATTAATATTTTTATTTTAGATTATAAGAGAGAGACTTAATATGTTATCTTTTAATTTGTTTATCAATACATTTCCATAACTATTGATTACATAAAATATTTTTATAATTTTTATTTCTATTGTAAATATTTCTAGCCCTCAATTCAAAATAGCCCTCTATACTTTTCCATACTTTCTGTGTGGTAACTTCCTCATTCTTCCTTGAAATTTCAGTCTGTTTATAGCTGTCAGTTTGTCTCTGGTATATTCTGCTGAGGGGAACACCTACATTTATTCAGAGATGTACCAAAATATCAGTCTGCCTGCACTCAAAAACTAGCTAGAAATGTTGCTACATATACAGTAGAACCTCGAAAACTCGGCTCTCGATAACCCAGCACTCCGGATAACTCGGCCACACCCTGGCAGGGCAAAAAAATCCTTAGTTAATTAATTTTCATTATAGACAGCTTTATAAAAGTATAAAAGCTCTCATAAAGTATTTTTCTGAGGTCTGTCTTATCAGGTAAATTACTGTACACAGTGTATTCATTAATTTTCATTTTCATGTAGTAAAGGCTCT